GATGATACCAACAGATAACAAATTGTTAAAATAAACTTTTACACTTGAAATATACGAGTATTTATCTAAAATTATATGTATGTACGTATGTATGTTGTATTTTGTAATTGAAACATTTTAAATGTTATGTAATGAGTAAATTATAACAAAGAGTAAATTAGCTAAGAATTTATACAAATTTAAAAGAACCATACCTACATACATACATATATAACACACTAAAATAGCGCATCAAAAATTATTTAACAAACTCTAAAGTTGACTGAATATCCTTTAATAAAGTTCCAATTGAGATCTGTATTGAATAGGTTGGTTTAATACAAATTTTAATACCCGCAATTCAAGAAATTCGAAAAAGGTAAAAATACTTCCACTCAAGTTGAAGGATATATTATGTACAAACAAATGTATGTATGGATGTACATATGTAAACGAGGAAACACATGGTGTTAATACCCGAAGGAACATTCCACATATACTTCAGTTTTCTAGTATGTATTGTCACAAAAGAGAAACAGGATACAATATTAAGAGCTAAACCATATTCAAGAGTCATTCTCATTGACAATATTTATGCTGCACGCAACATATAAGAGTAAAACAGCAGTGAAATGAACATTTAACGTGTACTCGTGTCTTGGCACATGGCCAAAATTGTATTGTTCATTTTGTTTTGCTATTAACGTTTTTTTCTTTTTGGTTATTTTCTTTTAGCCATCAGCTGTAATTCTATACGGCTAGACGAAAAGAACTATGACACTGTATGCAGTAAAAAAGCAGAAAAATGGAAACAAATATGTTTCGTACGTATGTACATATGTATAATATGCATATTAACATAGCATAAAAGCATAAACGAATATTTCGTCCTTTTTTCCTTGCTGCAGCAGAAATAGAAATAATTTACATATGTTAGTGTATGCATTTATTCGGATATTTCTTGTAATCTATCTACCTATCAATCTATCTATCTATCTATCTATCTATCTATCTATCTATCTATTAGGGATGCCAATCGGGACTGGTTTTTAGAAATCCGGGATTCGGGATTTTCGGGATTTCTAAATCCCGAAAAATATAAAAAAAATTCAAAAAATCTTAATAATTTACCGACAAAAATAAAATGTTTTATTTCATATTGCAATATGAATACTCTTAGTAGGTGTTTACTTTCCAATAAGCATTTTGTGAAAAGAAAAACAAATTAATTCAAAGTACATACTTAGAATAAAAATCTTTCCATCCCAGGCACTGAATAGTAGAATAAAAACCTGAAATAATACCCATGATATCCAAATTTACAATGGTTTCCAATAATATTTAAATAGTATGTGTAATGGGGATCCATACGAGGCTACATAGAGCACCTGTACTGCACCTATATCTCCTCCACCTTATATCCCGTGTTCACTAACCAAGGGAATTATCTTCTCGCCATCTTATTGACAGGTTGACTTCCATTATAGATATCCGATAGTATCAATGCCTATTTATTGCCCTTTTTATACCCTTAGTAGGGATGGTATATTGGGTTTCTCCGGAGTAGTGCTTTTGTTTTATACTGTCCTAAAATACGCTGATGAAATTTGAAATGATCGGGCTTTTGATCCGAGCCCCCATACAAAACACAGCTTTAAAAAAATTAGTGTCCACAATTCGCTTAAAAAGAGAACTGTCGCAATGAAATTCAGCATAAAACATTTTATGTAACCGTAAATTCGCCCTCCAAATTTTATGAGGATCGACTCATATGATGGCGTCCTTCCCCCAAGCATATTTCAGAAAAATAGTTTTTTAACAATAAAGTGCTAGAATATATCGGAGGCGAGGTATACTTTTTATGAAAACTAAATTACATTTTACTCTCATAACTGGTGTTATATGGTCGGCCTCGCCCGCCTATAATTTCGTACTTGTTATTTTTATATCCGATACTGGCTAAAAATACGAGTATAGCGATGAAATTCGATACACATATGTTTCATGCGAGTCAAAATCTCTCTACCAAGTTTTATGTGTTTCGGTCCATAATTGACCCTACCCCTACATAAGGTCCCACCCAGATAAATACTTTAACGCTCATTACTGGCTTACAAGTACGAGTGTAGAGATGAAATTTGAGATAAGTAAGTTTCTTACTCGCCAAAAGCCAAGAAACTTTTATAGCCGAATATAGCACTCTTACTTTTTTTTTGATATTTCAGCTTGTAAGTTAGTAGAGTCATCTTAAGTCCAAAACTTTTTAAATTCTCTTATTTAGTACTTTATAATGTATAAAATAGCGGAAAAATACTTAAAAATTCGGGATTTTAAAATCCCGAAATTTCCCGGGATTTCATTTTTTAAAATCCCGGTTTTCGGTACTTTCAAATCCCGAAAATCCCGGGATTTTCGGGAATCGGGAATTCCCGTGGCATCCCTACTAGCTATCTATCAGCAGGAGCGAGCGAGCGAGCGAGCGAGCGAGCGAGCGAGCGAGCGAGGAGCGAGCGAGCGAGCGAGCGAGAGAGCGAGCGAGCGAGCGACGAGCGAGGAGCGAGCGAGCGAGCGAGCGAGGGAGCGACCGAGCGAGCGAGCGAGCGAGCGAGCGAGCGAGCGAAGCAGCGAGCGAGCGAGAGCGAGGCGAGCGAGCGAGCGAGCGAGCGAGCGAGCGAGCGAGCGAGCGAGCGAGCGAGCGAGCGAGCGAGCCGAGCGAGCGAGCGAGCTAGCGCGAGCGAGCGAGCGAGCGAGCGAGCGAGAGAGAGAGCGAGCGAGCGAGCGAGCGAGCGAGCGAGCGAGCGAGCGAGCTAGCGAGGCGAGCTAGCGAAGCGAGCGAGCAGCGAGCGAGCGAGCGAGCGAGCGAGCGCGAGCGAGAGCGAGCGAGCGAGCGAGCGAGCGAGGGCGAGGAGCGAGATGAGCGACGAGCGAGCGAGAGCGAGCGAGCGATCGAGCGAGCGAGCTAGCTAGCGAGCGATCTAGCGATCTAGCTAGCGAGCTATCTATCTAGCTATCTATCTATCTATCAGCTAGCGAGCTATCTATCTACCGATCTATCTACTATATCTATCTATCTATCGATATATCTATTATCTATCTATCTACCTATCTATCTATCTATCTATCTATCTATCTATCTATCTATCTATCTATCTATTCATCTATATATCTGTGCATTTCCTTTTCGAATCGAATCGAATAACCGATTCAATTGAAATATTAGAAACTCAAAATGTTTTTGAAATATTTGTATGTATTTATATTTATGTTATGCAGACGGACTGTACTGAAGTTCTCAATTAACTCTGGGTAATGACAAAAATTTTCTTGTCGTGCTTTCTTTTTGGGTAATACTTTATTTGTTTTGTGTTCCTACCATAAATTAGTTTCCCATTACATCCATACATATATATTTCACATGTTTTACCTTCATGTTGCAATTGTGTGTTTAATTTTGCTTCAGCTCCAACAAGGGTATTAAAAGGATACAAGTCTGTCTGCATGTACAATTTTTAGGCACAAAATGCACAAACTTACATATACACCTATGTATGCGCTCACATATTTCAATTAACTGAAGTTAAAAAGTGTATATTTTAACAAACTATATGTCATCATACATATTAGATTTGTTAGGTTAATTTTAAGTTAAGTAGATAAACATTTTTCTAATGTCTCGTTTTAAAAAAAATGTAAACATACACTAATACACTAAAGAATGTAAAAGGATATATTTAAGGAATCCTTATAAAAGTAGAACTAAACAGATTATTTAACTAATCTAAAGAAACTAATTCCATTAACTGTAGTACATAGTATTATTTGTACCTTTAATTTTGTTGGGTTTAATGATTAATGTATTGAGTAAAATGCATAAGAAAATTTAATATTCGTTTAAAATATACACATAAATTGTTTCATTCTATCGAAGAAAGGTTTTTAAAGATTGCTAACGGACCATCATTTCAGAAAGCTCTTATTGAGATATCATATCTTTAAGTTTAAAACTACATACATAACAGATTTTATAAATAAATGTGTCTTATCGCTACTGTAACGTCTCAAATATCCCTACTATAGTTATATTTGGTGTAAAAAAGCGTGTTCACAGTTTTATGGGAATACAAATCAAGCCGTTTTACTAGATTTCAATAATTTGATCACATTTCTGGCTCAATTTTTCTATTAAACACAATCAAGTTTCTATGAAGCGCCCAAATTAGCCCGCTTGATACATAAGAAAACATTTAATTGACCTATTATCAGAAGTTTGAAAAATTTGTTTGATTAATTTATTGGTTCTTAAGGCAAACTGAATTTTAAATATTGACTTAAAGGTGTATATTGATATATTGTCGCCCAATTGTCTCACATTTGTTTTCTTTTTTAATACATTTAAATTAACCTCATTAAAGATAAAAATGTTAATAACAAAATATTTACATAAAACAGTAAAAACTGTAAATAATGGAATTCTGACCAATAAAGGGTTATGGTCTGTCGTAAAGTGCTTTACTTAGAGAATTCAGTTTAAAACGAGCTGTATTGGAATGGCCATTCAATTTTTAATCACTGGACTAGCAAGGATATATTCCCTAAATATACATTTTGTAAGTGAAAATTTAATTTATAAAAGTAATTTTTTCTAATAACCGTTATTTAAAGAGTTCACTGTAATTTTAATACACAAATCTATATGTGTGCAAGTATTTGTATTCGATTCAATAAACTGGCAAAAATATTTTAAAAAATTATTGGCAACGTTTTTCAAATATCGTTAAATTTAAATAAAATTTAACGGATCGATAGTAAGTCATTCATTATTTACAGTTCAATTGAACAGCACACACTGTACGTTCAAGATGTTTTTCTTGCGGAAATTCCAATCGATATCCAATACGATACTCTTCATTACTGGTGACAATCATCTGCAGTAATCTGGGTTTAAGTTGTAATGCCAGTGCCACCTCAAACACCATCAGCACCATTTCTTCCACACAATCTAATCAAATGGCACTAAGACAACACCGAAATTTTTCAAAGAAAACTGTACATGTTCAACACAATGGCAGTGTGAATGTTGTGCCAAAGTCAATAATGACCTACTTAATGTACATCAAACATGTAAGTGTTGCAAATGGTCACATTCAATTGCATTTCAACATTTGAACATTGAAACAATCGAAACATTATTTAATTTTCCTTTCATTATTTTTCCAATCAGTGTGTGCCGACTGGACTGTGTTTTCTAACTCATGGGACATACAGGCCAATGTACGTTTAAATGAAAATGTTTTATACACTAATACATTTTCCGCCTGGAATGTACCACCATTTTGTGTTCCCATATGGCCGGCAATAGCATTGACCGGATGTGTTCAAATGCATAGTATTACACAACATGAATTCAATACGTTACATGGTTGTGCAAATTTAACCATCAATTTTATAGCATTCAATTTGGTCAACTTCCAAATGGGTTGTATGGATGTCGGTACGGGTGGCATTCAATTTGTTGATCCCAATCATGAAATTGTAAGTTCGACCACAACGGAAAAGCCTCCAGAAATTGAATTGGAAACTAGTGATTTTGTCAAAACCTCCACTCCTGCTATGAGTAGTTTGGAGTTAAATGACAAGGTTACTACAGAGCGTACATCTACGATACGTCAGGATTCATTGAGTTATTTAAAAAGTACGAATTTTTGAATTGTTATGATTAAGCGATATTTTTAGAAAACTACCCACTGCTTTGTTACTCATAATTGAAAGTCATTAATAAATTTATCATGCTACTCAAAATAAAGAATTTTTATTTTCATGTAAATGTTTGTTTTAGTTAGTTTTAATATTTAAATAAGAGTTATATTACACAATAATCAAGAAATACTGTAGCAGATTAAGTAAAATCAATCAATAATATATAAAAAATCATATCTACAACAAAAATAAGACAAACGGAAACATTAAACCAAAACGATAAAAAAAAGCTGAACACAAAACAGAACAAGTTAATTGTAAATTAAAAGAAAGAAAAATTTAAGAAAATATCAAAATGTAAACCTGTATAAAATATTTATATATGTGTGTTGCAATAATATCAATTCTGTAAATAAATTATTTAATATTTTAATGTTATTAGTTTGTTTTGTTTCTTATATTTTTAATTATTTTTCCAAAAAATAGAAAGAATTAAAATGAAAAGTTAAAATGTAGAAGAAGAAATTTAAATATTTAACAAAATATATGTATGTTTGTATATCGCATACAATTTAGAATATAACATTATTATTAGTTTTATTAATAATTATTATTATTATATAATTATTATTTAATCGGCTATTGCAGTATAAGGTAGACTGCTGTGTTTAGGTTTTGTTTTATTGATAAACACTTTATGGCTCCATTAAAATCGGCACTGACCATGACATAACCGCAACCTTTTTTATGTTGTTCTACCAAGGGATCTGGTTGATTATTTGTTTGCTTCAAGAGAAAAAGTAAGAAATATTAATAATGTAGTTCTTATGCAAAAATAAATATATATATTATTTACTTTTCATGTGAAATTTCATCAGGTTCGGGCTTAATAATGGCCTCAGGATGTGGAGCAAATATTGCACAAGTAACTGTAGCGTTATGGGCTTTAATTCCCTCCCAAAAATCACTTCTATCACGACGTACCTAAAAGTATTGAAAATTAAATTCCACTTACACTTTAATTAGCCAAACACGAGAGACAACTTACCGAACTTAATTTTGAATAATCATGATTGTTTTCCATATATAAATACATTGATTTTCTGAACCCGCTATAATATATTTGCCATCATGACTGAAAGATGCCTTAATTTGCGATGAAGCATTTAGATAACCTTTATATTTGCAGGACAAATTCAAATCTCTCAAATCGTATAACGCACACGACTATCGTTAGATGTAACCAAGATTTTATCTTCACCCGGCATGGGCTCAATGCCACTGATCTTGCGTCCAATGCGATTTTTACCACGTGTCGAGCGTACATGTATCTGAGTATGATATTTCAATTGATCGGTATTGTAGAAAATACAAACGACCATCATAGGAACCCACTACAGCAAATTGACCGTTTTGACAAAAGTTTGCCGCTGTTATTAGTTTCGTTTGACCGTCGACTTCATTCCATAAGGCCACCTTTTTATCGGGTATATTCCATAAACGTAGTTTACCATCTAAACTGCCGCTGAGGAAGTAACGATCGTCACGAGGATGAAATGCAATGGCCGTTACAAAGTCAATATGCTGGAAACAGCAAAGACACTCCTTACGTGAAATATGCCATAAACGTACTGTTTTATCCATGGAACTTGAGAGTATAAAGTAGTTTTTCGACCAGGACACATCCAGTAAATCGGAGGTGTGACCGATGTAAGTGCAAAAGGATTTCGGCATAAAAGGTCCAGTACATTTTTCAGCCGCTGTTGCCATAGCTATAGCCTCCTCGGCAGAATGCTGTGATACCAAGGATTCTTGTGAAGGCGTTGGTGAGGATTTTGATCAGCATTATATTTAGTACGCATATCCTGGTAAGAATTTAAATTATATTAATAATTAACTATGTTGTTAATCACAATAATAACTCACTTGGAAAAATGGATAGGCATCTTTAAGAACCCAAATACGCAAAACTTTATCTTGACCAGCGGTGGCTACTAAACGGCCACATGAACTAAATTTCATACACCAAACAGCCCCGGTATGTTCTCCAGACAAATCCTTTTGAAAAGATGAAAAATAAATCAATAACCTCAATATTTGTTGGCCTTTAAAAAATCTTACTTGTACATGCTGCAACTTGGTAAATTCGTAAGGACCCTTGTTGGTAGAAGAGGCTTTAATTTTTATGTTCGTTCTGGATTCATAACATCAACTATATCAGCCACAATCTTCTTTGTGACGAGCATGTGATACCTCTGATGCCAGCGATTTGGCTTTATCAACGGTCTTGCGCATAGTTGAACCGAAGAAACGTTTAATTTTGGCCGTTTTCTTTTTCAAACGACTGCCGTCCTCAGCCTCCCCCTCTTCCTCATCCCTGTGGCTGACCCTCACTACTGGGCGGTATACCAATAACACTTTCATCGTCCGATTCCTTTTGTATAACTTCCAAATGTGATGTTAACTTAAGTATATGCAGTGACAGGGGGTTCCAACCTTCTGGTACTGGCGGTGGCCCGTACCTCGGATAATGGCATTGTTCACCCAGTTTCTAATTTTTAACCGGCACTTGTTCTAGTATTTCGAAATCTGTCAACTGTTTGCCCGAGTTCGTACGTATGCGCACATCAATATTCATTTGCTTTAAAACATCTTCATCCCCCGCAGATTTACGTCGTTCCTTATCACTGCTACTGCGATATATTAGAGATGGATATCTGAATGTAGATGCGTGCAAGATAGATTAAAATAGAAAAGAATTGCAATGCTTAATACAATAAATGAGACTACACAATGAATATATTATGCAACATAAAGTTGAATTTTAATGTTGTATACAACATTATCTTTATTACTTCAACTACAATTTAATATGATTTTTTTCAGAATCCTAATGAACCTCTGGTAAGATAATTTGGAAAAATTTTCGATTCGATTATAAGGAATGATGATATTTTTATGTATGTATTCGTTGGTGACAAATCGTGTATATTCCCCTACATACTACATACAAGAATGTAATTCTAAGTGGAAATTGATGCAAATTGTTTAAACCATATGAAGTTTATTTTATTACTAAATTAAATTCTACCGATTTACTGCATCGATTAGTTTTTTTTTGTTTTCAAAGAAACCTTAAGCAATCTATTACTCTTTAAAAAAATTTCTTTTAAATCGCCATTATTATTAAACAATTTTTTTTCTATCTCTATCTATCTATCTATCTATCTATCTATCTCTATCTATCTATCTATATCTATCTATCTATCTATCTATCTATCTATATCTATCTATCTATCTATCTATCTATCTATCTATCTATCTATCTCTATCTATCTATCTATCTATCTATCTATCTATCTATCTATCTATCTATCTATCTATCTATCTATCTATCTATCTATCTATCTATCTATCTATCTATCTATCTATCTATCTATCTATCTATCTATCTATCTATCTATCTATCTATCTATCTATCTATCTACTATCTATCTATCTATCTATCTATATCTATCTATCTACTATCTATCTATCTATCTATCTATCTATCTATCTATCTATCATCTATCTATCTATCTATCTATATCTATCTATCTATTTATGTACCTATCTATCTATCTATATCTCTCTCTATCTATCTATCTATCTATCTATCTATCTATCTATCTATCTATCTATCTATCTATCTATCTATCTATCTATCTATCTATCTATCTATCTATCTATCTATCTATCTATCTATCTATCTATCTATCTATCTATCTATCTATCTATCTATCTATCTATCTATCTATCTATCTATCTATCTATCTATATCTATCTATCTATCTATCTATCTATCTATCTATCTTCTATCTATCTATCTATCTATCTATCTATCTATCTATCTATCTATCTATCTATATCTATCTATCTATCTATCTATCTATCTATCTATCTATCTATCTATCTATCTATCTATCTATCTATCTATCTATCTATCTATCTATCTATCTATCTATCTATCTATCTATCTATCTATCTATCTATCTATCTATCTATCTATCTATCTATCTATCTATCTATCTATCTATCTATCTATCTATCTATCTATCTATCTATCTATCTATCTATCTATCTATCTATCTATCTATCTATCTATCTATCTATCTATCTATCTCTATCTATCTATCTATCTATCTATCTATCTATCTATCTATCTATCTATCTATCTATCTATCTATCTATCTATCTATCTATCTATCTATCTATCTATCTTATCTATCTATCTATCTATATCTATCTATCTATCTATCTATCTATCTATATCTATCTATCTATCTATTTATGTACCTATCTATCTATTACCCTAAAAAAATTTCTTTTAAATCGCCATTATTATTAACTAGTTTTTTCTATCTATCTATCTATCTATATCTATCTATCTATCTATCTATCTATCTATCTATCTATCTATCTATCTATCTATCTATCTATCTATCTATCTACTACTATCTATCTATCTATCTATCTATCTATCTATCTATCTATCTCTATCTATCTATCTATCTATCTATCTATCTATCTATCTATCTATCTATCTATCTATCTATCTATCTATCTATCTATCTATCTATCTATCTATCTATCTATCTATCTATCTATCTATCTATCTATCTATCTATCTATCTATCTATCTATCTATCTATCTATCTATCTATCTATCTATCTATCTATCTATCTATCTATCTATCTATCTATCTATCTATCTATATCTATCTATCTATCTATCTATCTATCTATCTATCTATCTATCTATCTCTATCTATCTATCTATCTATCTATCTATATCTATCTATCTATCTATCTATCTATCTATCTATCTATCTATCTATCTATCTATCTATCTATCTATCTATCTCTCTATCTATCTATCTATCTATCTATCTATCTATCTATCTATCTATCTATCTATCTATCTATCTATCTATCTATCTATCTATCTATCTATCTATCTATCTATCTATCTATCTATCTATCTATCTATCTATCTATC